ACGGGAGACCGGCCCAGGTCTCAGAAAGGTTGCCTGCCCCTGCTTTAGCATATTATACTCAAAATGTACTGGAGACACTTGTGAAGGACATGTATGTCTAGCATTTCAGTGGAACTGTGGCTCACAGGGTCAAAGCACTAGGCCATTTTATTGTTCTTAACAGGAATTATGACATCATCTGCCATCTAATTTGACTTTTCTATTCTTTCTAAACTAAACTGACATCTTCAGAGAAGCTGGGATGGGGTATGAATTCCTCCAGCAACAACATATTGTTATGATCATGCCCTTTTGTAATGCAAAAATATCCTGGAGTGATTTGGTCTTTAATTGACAATTAAGATCCATTGGCTTTACAAAAAAACTGGTCCTAGTAGAGAGGAGCTAGATTGCTAGAACTGGATTGTTAGATGATCATCTGATCAGCACACCAGCTAATTTCTTGATATGGATGAAGACATGTTCCAAAATTTTCCATAGAATGGAGCTATGACAGTTAAAGTGGTGTCAAACTGCATTATTTATACTCTCTCTCTCTCTCTCTCTCTCTCTCTCTGTGTGTGTGTGTGTATCTGTGCGTTTGTGCCTTTAAGCCACCTGTCAACTTATGGTGAACCCATGAATTTCACAGGGTTTTCTCCTTGAGACAATTGTTAGGGAGTTAGAGTACCTGTACATTTTCCTTTACACCACTGGATCTATTGATATTTATTAGCCATGGAAGCTAAACATTACTTTAAAGTTCTGAAGCAATCTACTCTTGATGGCAAGAGCCTAGTTACAAGTAGCAGGAGATGGATATTCTTATCCTTCCCTACCACAGCATTTCCCATCCATTGACTATGTCCAAAGACAGATTAGATTAATCTTTCAGCCTGAGATGATAAGGCAACTATTTATATTAATGGTTGTAGCTACGTAATGAAAACTGATATTTTTCATTTAATGAGTAAACACAGTGACTAGATTAGAACAAATGGCGTATGTAATTTAAACTGCCCTCTAGAATAGAAACTGTTACTCTAATTTCTAATAATGGAGCACACTAGGGAATTCCAGAAGAAAATTGGCTTGTGCTTCATTGACTATAGCAAAGCCTTTGACTGCTTAGATCATGAAAAACTATGGCTTGCACTTAAAGGAATGGGAATGCCACAACTTCTGATTGTCCTGATTCATAACCTATACTCAAGACAAGAGGCAGCCATTAGAACAGAATACAGAGAAACAGAAAGATTCCCAATTAGCCAAGGAGTCAGCAAAGAAATTAGAAGACTGAGATTGAGGAGGGCTACTATGAAAGAACTGGACAAGATTACAAAATGTAAGGACATAACTCTGAACACTAAAGTGAGGATCATCCAGGACATAGTATTTCCTATCACCTTGTACAGATGTGATCTCTGGACAGTGAAAAAAGCCAACAGGAAGAAAATCAATTCTTTTGAAATGTGGTGCTGGAAAAGAGTACTAAGAGTACCATGGATAGCCAAGAAAACAAACAAAAGGGTTCTAGAATAAATCAATTCTGAACTCTTTCTGAACTCTTTCATATTTTGAGGCTTTCATATTTTGGCCACATCATGAGAAAAAAATCAACCATTAGAAAAGACAATAATGTTAGGAAAAGTGGAAGACAGCAGGAAAAGAGGAAGACAGCATGCGAGGTGGATAGACTCTGTTAGAGATGACACTGGCACGAGCTAGCAGGACCTGAGCAGAGAGGCTGAGGAAAGGGAGTCTTGGAGCTGTCTCATCCACAGAGCTTCGATGAGTCAAGGTTGACTCAAGGGCAGCTAATAACAACAAACTTTACCATGCAGGGCATTTGTGGGCCATAAAGGTAAAGGTAAAGGTTTCCCTTTTAATAGGATTGTCTAGTCATGTCTGACTATAGGGTTGATACTCATCTCCATTACTAAGCCAAAGATCCAGCATTGTCAAGGATGATTCCATGGTCATGTGGCCAGCATGACTGCACAGAACTCTGTTACCTTCCCAACAAAGTGCTACTTATTTATCTACTTGTGCTGTTACATCGGCAAAAGCTGGGACTAGGGGGAGCTCACTCCATCGCACGGTGCCTGGGTCTCAAACTGCTGACCTGGTGATCTTGCAAACATCAGAGTCGGCATCTTAACTGCTAAGCCACCATGCTCCCACATGGTCCGTATTCTCTTAAAATTTTTGTACTGCAGAAGATCTGTGTCTTTACTTTTCTCAGTTTCTGGACCAAAAGAATTTGTGTTCAAATTGGACAGAACTAGGTTTTTATAGAAATCATGATCCCTGTGTTAAACATGACAAAAAAAAATGGATCTAACAACAGAGAAAAAGTTTTGGAGAATTATCT